TTTTCTAAGATCAACATCTTATTTAGTTTTTTGCTGTTTATTTCAGATTCTTTAAATTCTTAAGCTTATGATTAAAATTTTCTTTTGTTCAGGATTAAAGGCAAACTCACCCAGCGTTTTCAAACTTGTCATTCCGAAGGTCTCTAATAGCTTAGAAGTAGTTAATGAGCAATTTCCAAAAGTGATTAGAAAAGTGAAGTTTGCAAACTTAGTGTCCTTTAAAAGTCTCTGGCATGGTTGTGAGCAAGATGGCTACTCCCGTCGTCTCGTGGAGCTCAAACCAATGGAAAACCACTGTCCTGAAGTCTTCTTGCAGGGAGCAGCCATCCGGAGCACATGTGGGCACTCTCCTGTTCTCTCCTTTCTTGAATATGCTGCATCCCTCCTCTATGTTGTCCTCCCTTCTTCAATAGTACTTTTGCTGCATTTGTTTTTCCCTTCTCAAGTTTATGATTTTTCTCCAAATCATAATTCTTGTGAACTTCACACTAACTTGCACAAATCCCAAACCTCTCTAAAAAATCTTACATTTCCTAAACTCTTTATTTATTAATTAATATAGCACTGTAATTGATGATTTTCTTTTTCTTGGAGAAGAGTGTTTGGCTTCAGGTTATTTGGTCACATAAGTAGGCCTTAGAATCTCTTGAAATGCTGCAAGTTCACTTTTGCAGCAGAAATTGCAATACTGTGGTAATTTAACCCAGTACATTTTTTTCTTGTTGAGTACATGTACACACTGTAAGCACACACACCAATAACTGCACTAGTTCACAAAGAGGGAAAATCCAGATTTTAAATTAGAGCAATACCATTATAAGGGCTAGTCAAAAAATCTCATAGGTTTCAAAGGTGGTGATGACTGTAGTACAAATTCAGGATTTAGAAGTGAGTCTGCACTGCTGAATCCACAAAATCCACTTGCCAAAATCAACAGGGTAATGGTGTGGTGTGCAAAAAGCCTTTCTGAAGTTGGAGGTTGCAGACTGAATGAGTTAATCAGTAGTAGGTGCTGCAGGTATCAGATTTTGGGTGAAAGAAGGAATACTGACCACCATTGGTTTGGAAATACAAAGGTCTGCTTTTTGTGTTTGAGAGAATAAGAAGAAATCTACCATATTATATCTCATGGTGTAACATTTCTTTAGTAGCCAACCAAAAGAATAAAATATTTACTTATACTAAATTAATTAAATATTAAATTCAAGGATCTACAGGCTAGCTCATACAGAAGTCAGTGATTTCATGCTGGGTATTTATACTAGCTTTTCCCAATCTCATACCCAAAGATGTATTAGAATTCAACAGCCATGCTGATGAGGAGTTATGGGGACTGAAGTATAACACACATGGAAGGTGTTTGATGGGGAAAGATGGTGGTATTAGGTCTCTGAATCCATGGTATTGTCTCTTCTGCCTTTAGGGTGTTATGGTTGGTATGGGCCAGAAAGACTCCTATGTGGGTGATGAAGCACAGAGCAAGAGAGGTATTCTGACTTTGAAATATCCCATTGAACATGGAATAATTACTAATTGGGATGATATGGAAAAAATCTGGCACCATACTTTCTATAATGAACTGCGTGTTGCCCCTGAAGAACATCCCACCCTGCTCACAGAAGCTCCTCTGAATCCCAAAGCCAATCGTGAGAAGATGACCCAAATTATGTTTGAGACTTTCAATGTGCCTGCCATGTATGTGGCTATCCAAGCTGTTCTCTCCCTCTATGCTTCTGGACGTACTACAGGTAAAAAAAAAATCAACTGGTTGTTTTCCTTAGCAGATTCTTCCCTGAACTTTGACCTAGTAAATATTTATGTTATGGGTAGACAACATACTGGTCTCTCTTTTTTTTTTTTCTCACCACAGTTGCAAATCCCTTAGTACTGGCCTTGCTGATCAGAGCTGATAAAAGTTGAATTCAAAAGCCACTAAGAGACATCAAGTTGCCTAACATGTATATGCTATAGCCCTTAAGCAGCACTGTCTCTGAGATGCAAAACCAGTTCATTTCATTACTTGAAGCAGCTTTGCGTAATGGACAGAATTTCAGTCCATTTCATGAAGAAATCCATATTTCTCCATTTAATGGGTAGATTAGAAATATGCCTGTGGGGGTAAACATTCTAGATGACATCTGTATACTGCAGAATTAAACACAAAATAAAAATGTAAAAACTCATATTTCTCACATGTGATTGTGGGTGGTGCTACTATTTAATTAAAAAAAAATTACCAATCAATGAAATAATACAACTCTTGGAAATTAATTGCATCAAGTACTTAGCACTTCTTCATTTCATGGAGAGATGAACATGTGTCCCTTAGGAATTATAATGAATTACAGTGAGTGAATATCATTGGTTTAAACAGAATACCCCATCCTTCAATTTTGAGAAATTGATGCCTTAGTCTGGATAGTACAGCAGCCAGTCACAATAGTGGAAGCTCAAATATATTATTATTTAAGAGTTATATTAAGAGGAAAGGCGTCATCTTTTAATGAACGCTGCTTGCTTACCACTGAGAACAATGTTAAGTGGGAAATTGTAATTTATACATGAAATGAGTGGCAATGCGGTCCACTTTACTGACTCAAATGTTTAGTTGTGCTAAGTGGGTTCATGGTGTAACATGGTCAATCATTGCACATTACAGGTACTTTCACATAAAAGCTACAATAGATACAAGCCCACTTCTTTTTTACAGTTTGGAAAAACAATATTTCCTATTTCTGTGCTCAGCAGCTAAAATAAAGAATATTACACACCCATCCCACCCTACCCCAAGATGCATACTTCCTCTTTCTCTTGAAAAGATGAAAAAACCACTGGTTACCATACTTCAAACACCCATATTAATTATTGTCCTTCATATATTAAGGTAGCAGCATCTGAAATACTTATAGATCCTATATGATCCCATAATATTTCGATCTCTCATAGCAGCTGTCCCCACCTAGGTCCCTTGTAGCTGTGTGAATTTCCAAGTCAGAATTCTCAGCAAAAAGCCATGGTGGCTGAAGAATTCTGGGAATTCAAGTCCCCACTTCTTTAACTCAGGTTAAAGAAGGCTGCCTCACAGCGTACTGGAAACTGCCAACTTGGACTGATTATGGCTAGGAATGTCCCTGAAATCTTTATAGTCAAACCATTGTTGAGCTCAGTGAAAAGGCAAAGTCTCCCCCAAACTAAGCTTAGCTTTAGATGGACATGAATTAATTTAGTGTTCTTAGTAACAGTAGTAGGGACATTATTTGCTATTGCTTTATTTCAGATGATGACGACGATGATGATTTTGCTTCCAAGCCTAGTCTATAGTGTTAGGGCTTCATGGTGGTTTCCCAGCCACGCACTAACCAGTTTGATCCTGACCAGCTTTTTGGGATCAGCCAAGATCAATAGATGCTGCCAATAAATGTACTTAAATGCACTTGATGATCTCCTGTGACTGGTGTCTTCCCATCTTTTCCTTACCATATAGGTCAGGCCAATAATCTAATAGACCTAACTAAGATCAAAGCTGATGCTCTGGTGGGAGGGATTCAGGGAGTTGGTTCCACTTTTATGATACTAGGCATTAAGGTATAACAGGATTATGTGATGAGATCATGAAAAGAAGCATCACTGCTGAAAATATCTCAAGGACCCCTGTGTGCATAAAACATGGGAAGTTAAGGAGAATTGTCATCTATAATAGACAAATTTAAGAGTGTATTCCCATCTTAGAAACAACTTGTTTAGATCCAGATGAATGAAACAGAATCCCCAAACTGATTGTTCAGCTAAGTTCCTTGTTTATTAAATGGGGCATTATCAAACTGCTGTAGGATAATATAAATATGAAAGGAAGACTATAATCCAATGAAGCTCTTTTGACCCAAAATTAGTTCAAGGAAGCATAAAGGACTACAGTTGGCTGAAGTTAAGGAAGTATTTCCTTTGGTGTTTCAACTACTTGTAAGACATTGAGAATTATTAATTGAGGAAGGTTATGTTTCATACTCATCTGTCACATCAGACTTCAATTGTACATTCTCTGTTGCATACTATTTTTTCTGTTCTCCTAATCTACATCTGGAGAGATTGCATGACATGTGCAAGAACATTTTTTTAAAAAATACTGACAGACTTATGAGAACTTGGGCATTTGTATTTCACAGGTATTGTCCTTGATTCAGGGGATGGAGTCACACACAATGTCCCTATCTATGAAGGTTATGCCCTTCCCCATGCCATTATGCGCCTGGATCTGGCTGGCAGGGATCTGACTGATTACCTCATGAAGATTCTGACAGAACGTGGCTATTCCTTTGTAACAACTGGTAATTATAGTTGAAGTTTACTCTGGCCATATTTCTGCATATCAGGGGTGCATTCAAAACATCTTTGTTAATAAATATTTATATAGTTGGGTATGCACATAGGCTGAGCAGTAGAATTTTGAGTGTCGTATCAAATTAAATAGTTTATGTGGGATCTAGATTCAGTCATATTTAAAGCAGGACCATTGAAATTAATGGGGCTTTAGTTCATCATGGTTCTAGTCCCATTTTTTAAAATATAATTTTTATTGAAGATTTTTATATGAGTAAAAGATAAACAGGAAACATATATAAAGGAAAGTTAGGAAAAAGAAAAAGGAAAAAGTGTGGGAGACAATACTGATAAAGAAAAAAAGATAAAGAAATAACTTCCAATCTTCTTTACAGCAGTTACAAACAAACTTATTATCCCTCCTCCCTTTCCAAGATTACATTACATAGTTACCCTTTATCCTATATTCAGCCCTTTTTTAGTCAGCAAATCCAGAAATCACCATTTCGTTTTTTCCCATTTTCAGCAAAAAGTCCATAAAAGGTTTCCAGTCTTTGATAAAAATACTTATTGTTTTATCCTTGATCAAACAGGTCAGTTTTGCCATTTCTGCAAATTCTGCCATGTTCGCCAATCCATTCCTCTGTTGTGGGTATTTCATTATTTCTCCCATGTTGTGCATATAATAGACCTGCTGCAGTTACCATATACAAAACCAATCTGACTCTTTTCTAATTGGTTATCTATAAGTCCCAATTTAAAAAAAAACTGTTTTCATCTGAATATTGATTTTTAAAATTCTTTGTATCATCATATGTATTCATATCCAATATTTTTTTGCTTTTTCACAAGTCCCCCATGGATGGTGAAATGTCCCTTCATGTTTTTCACATCTCCAACATTAACTAGAAGTATCTTTATACATCTTAGATAATTTATCTGGAGCCATACACCAACAGTACATCATTTTATAGAAATTCTCTCTTGTTACAACACAATGTGAATTTCATTCCTTTTAACCACATTTTCTTGAATTGATCCATTTATATATTATAACCAAAATTCTTAGTCCATTTTATTATGCAATCTTTAACTTCTTCTTCCATTTCAAATCTCAACAAAAGTTTATACATTTTAGCAATTGCATGTTCATCATTTGTATACAGTCCAATTCCATCTTATGTTGTTCAACTCCAGTTGCCTTTCTATCTATATTAAATCTTTCTCTTAATTGTCCATGTGAAAACCATTGAAAACTAAGTCCCTCTGCAATCAATTGTTCTCTTGATTTTATTTTAAGTTCTCCATGTTTCTGTAATAACAAATCTTGATACGTTAACCATTTCTCTTTGCTTGCTGTTTCTTTTCTATGAAATGCTTCTTGTGCTGAAACCAAAAAAGGTATTTTGGGGCACAGCCTGAGTTTATACGTATTCCATATTCTTAATATGGCATTTCTAACAATGGTTTTTAAAATCTACATTAACTTTATTGTACCATACTGGTTCTAGTCTCATTGATTTAATTGTGTCTATTCTGATTAAATATGGATCTAACATATAACTTACAACTCAAATATATTTTTGTGTATGTCATAAGAAAATATCCTGCTTGATTTTTTTAAAACCTAAGTTCTTCCACATTATTCATCGACACATTTCATTATTTAATGCTTAACAATGCCCAATAAAATTAATCATTAAATTAAATCACATAAACACACATACAGTAGAATTATTTAAATGTTTTCTGTAACTGAAGCCACCACACCGTACTTTTCTCCTCTCAAATTCTGCTCCTGTACTTTCGTATTTACTTCTGCATAATCTCTATTTCTCCATAATTCTTTCTCCATCTTCAGTCATGGTGAAACCCTTGGGTCTGTTCCCACTCCTAAGCATCCTGGAAGACTTATTTCAGGTTATATTGAAACAGTAATGCCCAAACAGAACTACAGGGAAAGGATTTTTAACCTCTGTTTTGCTTGTCTTCTCCTTAGCTTCTGTCTCTTCCTTCTTGCTATACATTTTTGGATTTGTCTTTACAGCTGAACGTGAGATTGTTCGTGACATTAAGGAGAAGTTATGCTACGTTGCTCTGGACTTTGAGAATGAAATGGCTACAGCAGCCTCTTCCTCTTCTCTAGAGAAAAGTTATGAGTTGCCTGATGGCCAGGTCATCACAATTGGGAATGAGCGTTTCCGCTGTCCAGAAACCCTTTTCCAGCCATCTTTTATTGGTAAGGAATCCTTTTATGTGGATGTTTTAGCCTGAAGTTACTTTGGTCTCAGATGGATGGATGGATGGATGGATGGATGGATGGATGGATGGATGGATGGCTTCTCTATGCAGCAAACTCTAAAGGAGATGTAAAATTGAAGTAAAAGGATACAAAATACAAAAAGGTAAACCAAACATTTTGGAAATGATAGAAATTAGTAGCAATATTGGACAGTAATCTGTCAAAAGTGCATATTCTTTTCTGGACTGATGACCACACATAACCTTTGAATGGCATGCTGGGGGGCCATACTGCAACAAATCAAAGGCCAGGGCAGAAATCAAATTTAATTGAAATAAACAGCTCATAGAACCACTCCACATGCATTTTAACCACTTTCTCCTCCAGCAACATTAAAATATATTTTGAAGCAACTTTTGGAGGGACTATGGGTGCTGGACCCAAGACGTTGGGAAGAACCACAAGTGGCCCTGGAGGCTCAGGGTATACATTCCTGTAGGAAAGGATGAGAAAAAGGAGGACAATCTCTAAGAAGAGAAGTGGATGAGTTAGTGTACAGCTAACTCAGAAGTCTTGTCTTGAGTACCAATCCACCTGCATTACAGACACCATTGAAGGGATGTTTTGAGTACTGTTGTTGACTACAATCAATTCAGGGCTTCTCCCTCATTCCAGGACTCACTGCCTCTCTGCTGGCTGCAGTAGAGACATCTGTTCTGGATAGAGGGGGAGTCATTTTATGGCCTTTATAGTCATTGTAATATTATTTTGAAACTATCTAGCAAATATGACATACAAGATTGACTTTTCTAATTTTTAAAACAAAGAAACATAAACCAATATAACATTGAAACTGGCTACCAACAGCTGCTGCTGGAGAGCTCCCATTCCATATAGCTAAACAATTTTAAAAAATCCTGCATTCAGTTACTATTTTTGGAGTGCATTTGCCTCCTGTGTAGAATTACTGTAGCAATGCCAATAAAATATGGACATCAGAAGCCTAACAACTATATCCTTTTGGTCTTAATTAATTACTTAAATTGAAATTACTCATTCAACTATATGAGAATTCTCTTCACCACCAAAGTGAAAAATAATTTCAGGTGATTATTTCTTAGGCACATCTTTATCTCTGGCTGTCTCCCTAATTCTACATATCATGCAATTATTACCATAAATTAATATATTGACCAGTATCTAGGAATGTCTGCCAAAGGCACAAATTCCTTTCCTTTCAAGGTACAAATGACTTCCTTGATCATGCTGCCTTAGGTATAAAGGTATAAAAGGGGGAAATAAAGCACAAATACCTTTGAAATACATTTTGGTTTGGCAGTTTAACCTTGAATATATTCAAGAGAAGGAATTTTAGTCTTGCATAAATTTGCCCAAAGTCCTAAATCTTTTTATCACCTCCACAGTATTGAATTTAGAATGGCACTCTTGACTGTGTCCAATCTATTATGTTGCTAATGTCAAAGTGAAGCTGAATATCCTTAATAAAAGATGAGTGTTGATTAGCATATTATTATGGCTTGGCTATGTATATTTTTGCATGTTTGGGTTGTTTTGATTTAGTCATCTTCTTTAACTGTAGTACATTTTTGGAAGGGTAATTTATATAAAATCAAGTAAAATGGGGAAAAAAAATGATGTTGGAGCAGTGCCTAGGAGTTGCATCCTATAATCACTAAATGGCCCAGAGTTCTAAAAAAGCAAGTGTAGATTCATGTCCTTTCAGACCAACTTTTGTCATGACAGAAAAAGTAATCTCCCTTTGCAACTGATGATGTGTCAAATGTTTATAATACAAGCCTTGTGGATTTAGGAGCAGTTGTTCATCAGCTGTTGCCTTGTTATGGATCTAATTTCAGTTCACTTTAAGAAGCCACCTGTCACCTAATACATTGGAATGTAACCCATGAATGTGTATTTCTGATGTAAGTTTTTCTTATGCTCACTGCTAAGCTTCTGCATACCCTTATCATTTGTTGCCTTCCTAAATACAACCTTTACATTTTTTTTCTCATTCAAACACATGTGCTAACATTATCCATTGCATCTCAGAGTTCTCACGTGTAAGCTATCAATTTGTAAGCTATGGCTGTCATGTACCATGTCACATCAAAACTATTATGTGCTATGGCACTGCTCCAACATTATTTTCATTAATTTTATTTGAATTTATATAGGCTGCCCCTCCAAATCCTACTGCAAATTTATATTTGCAGGGGATACCCAGGTTCATTCAATGTACTGCCATAAGACAGCACAAGTAAGCAAGACATACTGTTTCTTCACCAAAGTTCTCTTGTTTCCTCTACTCAAGTCAGAGTTCAGTTGTAGAATTTTAATTCAATTTGTGTGCTGATGTCTCACTGTTAAGAAGCCACTGTTGTTAGAAACAATTAAACAAAGTTATGTTGCCTAGAGATCTAGGTTGATAGTTGCATCAAAAAATGTAATACATGAAATAGCAAAATAGATAGCAGAAATTATCTTGTATAAATTGCTACAGGTAGAGGGAAAAACAACAACTGGCACTATGTCAAATTCTCTGATCCACTTCTTTGTCACAAGAAAAGCAAAACACAACTCTTCCATATTTCACTTGCACCTAGATCAGGTGTGGGTTAGGGACAGAGTTACCTAACTCCAACCTTTTGGGATTCAAGGGCTGCATATAACATTTTGTGGAAGAACGAGGGCCACAAAGTAGATGATGCCACATCACATATGTAGACAAGGCTGGGTAAAGGTGTTTTTGGGAGATATTTTTGTCCCATAATAGAGACATGCCTACTTAGGACTTACACTATATGTGCATCCTACCTCCAAATGGCAAAAAATATACAGTCAGTTTTCTGCAAATTACAAAGGGGCATCTGTAACCTACAGAAAATGGATTCAGGAATCTCATATGTCTGTATGTATGTGTGAAGCCTGCCCGTGCCTAATGTACTAATTCTGCCTTCTATTTTTATAGAAAATCCTTGATTTGATAAATGCTTTCTTATTTTTACAATTTTTTTATAGCTTTCTGGTATTAATAATGCTCAAATGTTGTGACTCCTCTATTCTTCATCAGTCAATAGCCTATCAATATTCATTTCTTTCCAAGGTATGGAATCTGCTGGCATTCATGAAACTACCTATAACAGCATAATGAAGTGTGATATTGACATCCGTAAAGATTTGTATGCCAACAATGTACTCTCCGGTGGTACTACCATGTACCCTGGCATTGCTGATCGTATGCAGAAAGAAATCACTGCTTTGGCTCCCAGCACAATGAAAATTAAGGTGTGAGAACTTGTTTCATATATAAAACTGAAAATTATGGTAGAGCCCTAAGGTCCCTGGAAAGGCATTCTAGATAGCCTTCTGTAAGGGTAAAGAAAAAGGTGTGCTCTTGAAAAGATTGAACTAGCTTTTTAGACTCCTAACCAAAGATTCAAAAAAAACTATAACCAGTGCTTCTCTAGTGTTAAAATTCTTACGCTGGGCAATCCTCCTCTGCAAGGCCCTAGAATGGAGAAAAACTATGCTGACTCTCAAGTTGACAGAATTTATTTATTGGAAGGGAAGGAGTTTGTCTTCCCACCTCCTAAAAAAAAGGTCCCAACAGGACATTTGGTAAAAAAACAACAGTAACTAAAGATGTACCCCTCTGTATTTTGCTTTGCCAGCACAAGTAAGCAAGACATACTGTTTTTTCACCAAGGTTCTCTTATTTCCCATACCCAAGTCAGAGTTCAGTTGTAGAACGTTAGTTCAATTTGTGTGCTGATGACTCAATGTTAAGAAGCCAAAAGTTATGTTGCCTAGAGATCTAGGTTGATATAGTTCCTTCTGAAATCTTGTTTCTTTTCTCTATTTAGATCATTGCCCCCCCAGAGCGAAAATATTCCGTCTGGATTGGGGGCTCCATCTTGGCATCTCTTTCAACTTTCCAGCAGATGTGGATCAGCAAACAGGAGTATGATGAGGCTGGTCCATCTATTGTCCACCGCAAGTGTTTCTAAGCATCTTCCCATACCCTTTGCCACCAATTACCCACTCAGGATGATGTGCTTCTTGAAGTATTTTTTTCCAGTTATCCTTCCTGAACTAGGTTCAATTGTATTGTACAGTTTGTTTACACATGCCCGTGCAATTTATTATGCTTCTTTGAATATTTATTGCTTTATAAATAAACAAGATCTGGGATTTGCAACCTATATATGTTATTTAGTCTGATTCCTTCCTTCCTTCCTTCCTTCCTTCCTTCCTT